TTTTTTTTTTTTTTTTTTTTTTTTTTTTTTTTTTTTTTTTTTTTTTTGTTTCCTCTCCAGCAAATCCACCCTCGGCCAAAGAAGCCCACGAGCCTGAGAATATACGAGGCCCACGTGGGCATCGCTTCACCGGAGGGAAAGGTCGCCTCGTACACCAACTTCACGACCAACGTGCTGCCTCGTATAAAAGACCTGGGTAAGAAAACGAGGCCACATCAGATTATTCTCTTCCCTTTTGGCATCCCCTCTTATTTCGTTGGCTACTCAAGTCTGCAAAAAAGCGCACAGCAATCATCCTGCTGTGATCCTCTTCATCTGAGTGTCAGTGAGAGCTTTTGTTGACTCAACTTGAGAACATTTTCTGTCTTTTCTCGCCAAGAACAGAGAGGAAGTGAAGCATTGAGGTGATCAAATCCGAGCCAGCAATGTGGTTGGGAAAATACTAGTTGAGGGGGTTCGTCGAGAGCCATTTCTTATAACTGCCAGTGTCTTGTGCCATCACTGTCAACACTGGTCCATAACTGTTCCTCCAGTAGCAGTGTTTTCAGTGGCAGACCTGTCACTCTCCCTTTGCTCAAAGCCGCATCAGCAAGTCAACATCCTGTTTACTGGCATGCCCTGGAGGGATCACTGACCGTTGGACAGGGTTTTGTAAAGAGGGCTCCACAACACCAGTCGCACACCACACAGCAGATATGGCTCTGAAACCGACAAGTTATTCCTTTTCTCCTTTCTTGACCTTGACTCCCACAGCCAATAAAAAAAATCTATTTGCCCGTTGTATCATTCAGTTAAACAAATACCATAAAGACGACCTCTAACGTATATTATCATAAACCGTCACAACTAGTTTGCTGTCAATAAATTCAACAGTATTCTTTGTACAGCACTATTATCAGCTCTCCGTTCAGTGCTGACTCTCTTCTCATTTGTTTGTTCAGATTAATTCAGTATAACCCTCAGAGGTTTTTGGTCGCCTGGACTCGACCGTGGGCTTATTGATCGTTTGTAACTCTGGTTAAATGTCAGTGGCCATTGCAGCTGTCTCAGTTTAACTAAATAGGACAATTTATTTATTGGATATTGTCATATGAGTCAACGTGGTAAAAGATTCACAATGTGTGTAAGTCAATAAATTTAGTTTAGTACAGCCTTGCTTGTGCTTTAATATATGAACCGAACAGTCTGGGTTTTTTTCCATAGGCTACTTGAATTTCCTGTGACGGTGAAACAAATATTCATTAGGTGACTGACTATTAATGCTACTACATTTCCCTTCATCTCTAAGACAATATGTATCACAGCTTTGTGTAATTAGTATAGCGGACAGAGGTCATGTGGTAAAAGACTTGAAATTATGAGACATTTTGGTAGGATTTAAATTTTTCCCCCAATTTAAAAAAAAAAAAAAAAATAAATAAATAATAATAATTTAAGAGGTGAATTGCTCTGCTTAAATAGTTTGCAAAATGTGAAACATTAATTATTTTATTAATAATGAAATTGTAAATGTTCAATGCTATTAAGTGTGATTTTTAGCTATGCTAGCAGCGCGGCTTTATTAAAGGAAATGCTGGAAGCCTGTTGGTCCAGCACAAATTGTATTTCTTTTAATTTGCCTTAAAAATATATATTTTTCTAGTTGGTCTGAAAACATGTGATTGAAAAAAAAAAAAAAAACATTCAGATTTGGCTACCCATCTATGTCGCATGCAGGTTCATTTGAACCCATCCGAGTGTCTCAACCCACTGCCTAAGAACAACCTTTCTTTTTCTCACAATCCATTCAGAGCGTACTGGGCTTCTTTCAGGAGAAAGGCTTAAAGGTGCTAAAACAGGGTTTCAGGCAGAGAGTCAATACAAGAATGTTCAAACAGACCATGTGAGGAAAGTAGTTTGTTCTTTGAACATTAAAGCATGTAAATATGTCCTAGTATGAACCCAAAATACAAGTATTAAACTGAAAATGAGTATATGTCCTCTTTAAAATTATACTTTTCAACAAATGTTTAATTTTCATCAAATGCTAAAAAATATATCTTTCCCTTCATGACTACATTTTAGGACTTGAGGATGATGTCCATATTGTTGCTTACTGCTACGATGAAGATTAGTTCTACTCCAAAGAAATATCAATAAATGTGCTTCGACTTGTGAGCAACTTGCTCGTTCTCATTCCACATGTGAATTATTAACTGCAATGTGTGATGCATTTAACAACTTAACTTATGGTAAAGAGCGAGATTAAAAAGTGACTTTAACCTTAAGGAACAGATCCCCGTGTCTGTTTGCAATTCTGCTCGTATGAGCTGTGGCATCATTTTGCATTGAAATACAGCCTTCTGCACTGCCATTAAAAGGCACAGATATGACTGGCACAGAAAACCAGGAGCAATCTGATAAATGCTGTTTCCTTGGTTGTGTCATCATGTTTAGTGAGAAAGGGAACTGTCAGAGTGAATGCTGTCAAAGAATCTACCGGAGGGAAGCTGCACAATGGGATTCTACAGGAGGCTAAACTCCACCGTCTCTAGTGACGGTTGCCTTTGCCTGCCATTTCCTTGACAGAGTGTGTGTGTGTGTGTGTGTGTGTGTGTGTGTGTGTGTGTGTGTGTGTGTGTGTGTGTGTGTGTGTGTGTGTGTGTGAATATAAAAAAGAGAAACTTCCTCTCACCCCAGTGCTTTGTCACACCCCTTTTTTTTTTTTTTTCTTCTCTCTCGCTCTCTCGCTCTCTCTCTCTCTCTAGCCTGAAAAGCAATATAAATAAATAAATGTGCTCCACACAACAGTGCAAAACCGCAGGGCTTCCCTCTGGAGTGCTCAGTGGCAGTTTAAAAGCCTGTTGTTCTCTTATTCATAGAAGCAGTTGTCGTAGGTCGTTTGGAAATGTTGTACATGACCTCCTGACTCTGATAGCTGGTGTTTCCCTGTAGCCACGGCTTGTCTTCGGGGTACTTGTGTCAAAAAGGAAAATGCCTGGAGCTCACATATACAGTATGACTGTCACGGGTCAAATGGTATTGAGTCCTAATGTTTCCAGATCATTCAACAGTAGAGACTTTTTCAGGTAATGTTTTCAGTGTCCAGAAATGTCGTCTTGTTTTATCCTGCGTATCCAACCAAACCCACACGCATCATTAGAATATTTACATTTTTAATTGATGTTTGGAATTGTGTACTAAGCAGCTGGTGTTATTTTCAGAGGAATCATAAGAAAAGAGAAGATGGCAAGAGTGAGGCTATCCTAACAGACCGGATGTGATGCTCTCAGCAACACAGAAGCACCAGGATGTCGGGCTACATTGTTTCATGCTGCATACCTGAAGTGTTTTACATAAATTAGACAAAAGGCAGTTCAATCATCTGGTAGGAAAGCCAAAAGATCTTTTTGAAATATCCCTCCTCCCTCTGTGTGCAGGTTACAACTGTATTCAGCTGATGGCAATCATGGAGCACGCCTACTATGCGAGCTTTGGATATCAGGTTACGAGTTTCTTTGCTGCTTCCAGGTAAATGCTTGTCAATTTCACAGTATGATACATGTGTTATTACATGTTTATATAGAAGGCTCTATTATTTAAAAAAAGTGTTAAGTGCATTTAAATTTGCACTTAAATTTGTAATTGCTACGGGTTTTAATTATACAAACACAAATTTTGGTTGTATTATAGTCAACATGTTCTCATCATTAGTCATTCAATTTATTTGCACTCTAATTATGTCGGCAACATGCGATCACGAGTTCAGCATTGCCTTGCCAGAAGATATTGTTTGTGGTCTTTTTTTAGTCTTTTATTGAGAAAAATGTGACGCGATAAATCCTTTCAGCTCAACCAGGACCAAAATGTTCTGTAATCCCTTCTAAGATTAAAATTTGGAGGCATATTAATTTCTGTGTCACATGTCGTTTACACTTCATCATTTGCAGTATCTGTCCTTTTTAATGCAAATAGTTTTAGAGAAATTGGTGTTTGTTGGGAGGGTTGAATGAGTAACTTCACAGCATCATGAGAACAAAACTGAGCAAGCAACTTACCACTTCATAGAAATGGTCACCTTGAATCAGGGTTGGGAAGTCTGACACCAACAATAATCTCTCTGTAAATACATTTGCTGTTAATCCAGACAGTGGAGGGAGTCTTAGATAAAGGTGGACTAGTCTGAGTATTTATCCTCTCCTGGAGATCGCTCCTCCCTTGCTTAGAGTAGAGCATAAACCCAAAGTGTAATTTCACCCATGATTGATCTCTCGGTGTCATTTAAAACCGGAGCGGTCGAATACCAGGAAGCCGGGTAATACTGTCTCGATGTGTCCTGTTTTGAAAAGGAAGCTGATATAATGATAGCAGGAAGGGCAGCTGGGACGTTATTGGACAATATGATGAGTGTACACAAAGATATGCGTGTGTTTGTATACGGCGGTGTGTGTGTGTATACATACAAACAGTTGTCTTGTTTATGACCCTTTTAAATGGTATTAAAGGACTGTCGAAGTGTTAGAATATTATACAAAACTATCAAATAACTAAATCCTACGGTGTGGTTGGACTGTATGATCTTTAGATAAATGATCCGAGAAGATTATGTTTGTGAAATAGTGTGCCGCTCAATAGTCTTGTTGTTATTTAAATCACAAGACACATTCTAATGAAAATGGTAATTTAGTGTGTGCCCTTGCACTTTCTCTTAAACCGTAGACCGGTTGTCACTGTGATGATAATTTAAGGAAAAATAAACTCAACGTCAAGGACGTTTTTTTTGTTCATGGTCATCACCTTGCACAAGTCACAAGGTTTTTGTTTTTTTCTTTTTTTGGAGGGTGATAAGTTATGGTCTAGTTTGGGCGTTACAAATAGACTGAGAGGTTTGTTGTTGTGAGGACAGTTGGTCCATTATTCCTCAAAGGGATGTTATGACATTTTGACTTGGTGATTTGGGGTTCTCATTAGGATTTGGTTGAGTTAGATTTAGGCCATGAAATATAAAAGGGTTCAGGACTAATACTAATATGTGCGTGTGTGTGTTTCTAGTCGGTACGGTACCCCAGAAGAGCTGAAGGAGATGATAGATGTGGCTCATTCAATGGGCATCGTGGTGCTGCTGGATGTCGTTCACAGCCACGCCTCGCAGAACACCGAGGACGGCCTGAACTGCTTTGATGGCTCCGACTCGTGTTTCTTCCACTCTCCACCCAGGGGGGAGCACAGCCTGTGGGGCAGCCGCCTCTTCAACTACTCCAGGTATTAACTGTCTGGTTCCACTTTTCTGTGTTTGCATCAATCCATCACTCTGTGATGTACTGTATGTATGGATATAGCTTACAGTTATTAACAGGGTGCATCTTCAAAGAAAGATACATCAGATATCTGTTAATCACGATTGAAGGAGAAATTTCTTCATGCTACCACCTACGGTACCTCAAGATTCAAGCTTATTTTATTGTCATTGTACAACTCGGTTGGGCAAAGTAATGTAGTTGTAGTCCCTTGATGCTACATAAGAAAAACAAAAAATAAGAACGCTTTTTTTCTTTTTTTTTTTTTTTCTTTTTTTTTTTTTTAAAATGGTGTCTCGCAGCCTGAGGAAAGATGCTGCTCTCTAGTCTGGTGGTATGGCAGCGAATGCTTCTGTATCACTTGCCAGACGGCAGCAGGGTGAGCAGGCTGGGGCTGGGGCGGGTATAAACAAGTTTTAGCATTAAGTTCATTGGCATCAAAATATGTTGTGCAATGATAAACAACATATTTGTGGATGTGCATGATGCATATGGTCAAAACATGATTGTCAAGTCATTAAGGTTTACCTTTTAAAAACAAGGCTGATGAACGAGCACTAGGGTTTTAGGGGTTCTGAATTTGAAAGAAAAATGTATAAGCAACATATGAAGAGGTTGATAAATGAGGCCAAATGGGAGCTGACATACCGCTATTTGTATTTTCTCAGACCATCTGATACAGCATGATGTGCTGAAGGTCAAAAGCAAGACATGATCTCAAAATGACAGATTGCGTCTCTCACCAAAATGGCCATGCAGTCAGGTTCACTGTTAATCTGATATTCCTCAGGCGTAGAGTGGCCTATTAATGGTGAATGTAAGTTTCCTCAAATGCTCTTGATTTTACCCTTTACACATTCGGCCAGACAGGTGTTGAATTTTAATCGTTGTGAATAATGATTGGATGTTGCAGCGTTGGCAGGTTTTGGTAGTGATCACATTTTCCGCTAATTACAAAAGTGTAAGGAAATACATGAAAGGCCTGAAGTCGGCCGCCTCTGCTGGTGCTTAGTGTACACCAAAACTATTGATTGGTGTTGTTGTTGTTGTATAGGCTCTGTTAATTAAGTGTCTCTCTTCTTGCCTCTGTACCCAGAAAATGATCCTAGAGCACATTAAAGAGGAACCGGCACTGTTGAGTCTATCAAATGCTTTCTTTTTTTAACTGGCTTTTAATAACTGTGTTTCGTGTGCAGTAGTTTCCAATGCATTCTACCATGTTTAGTGTTGGGCATTCTGGCTATAATAAGGGAACAAGGTTCTTCTTTCATTACTTATTGAACTCGCCTCATATCCGCAGCACTCATTAGACACAGTGCAGACATATGCCACGACTGGGAGGCATATGAGGAGTCATTTGTAAAAGCCCTAAGGAGCGCCGCAATGTCATAGCCAGTTCATTTGTCTTCTCTGCCGCTCACAGGTTGTTTGGACGTGTCGGTTTGTGTCGAGCTTTTCTGCTACTCCCTTAGGAAGGAAATGAACCTCAGAGGCAAGCCACGATCCTGGTGTGAAACACGGGCTGTTTTTAATCAAGCAGCCCTGCTATCAGCCATCACAGTCCGACCATGATGTTCTTATTAGGTTGACAGAAGCTGACTGATACTGGCTATTGGAGCAGAGATGTATTTTCCTTGTTGCTGCCTCTTCTGCTCCGCTTCTACTTCTGCATCTTTATCAAAGAGCACCTTTTTTTGTTTTTTTTTCCCTTTTTTTTTTTCTAGTTTGTACGCGTTTCTCTTCAACTTTCCCTCATAAAAAATTCAGCTCAGTCTGAAGTGAATGGTGTTTAGATGGATGCCTGCTATCCAGTTGTTAACTTGAGTTGCCTCTGAGTCATTTGCATTTGAGGACACATACTGCAGACGCTTGCCCTCGCTGCTGATCCTAGAGCTGGTGTATGTCGGGAGGTTCTTGGCACCTCAGTATTAAAAGTAGCTTGTACTTCCAATTACTAAATAGCTTGTTTGCAATCATGGGACTATTATGACGAGCAATTTTCAGATGGAGGGCAGGAAGTGAAGAACCTATATACTGTGCGAATTGGAAATGGAGCAAGGTGAATACATAAAAGGGTTGGTTGAACCTGCACGCAGCAGTTGTCGCAAGTAAATAGAAACATATTGGAAATGATCCCTACAAAATGATGAAGAGCAACCATTTTTTTTTTTATTCACACAACTTGACTGTTTTGCCTGGTGTGGAGGCGATCAACTTTACAAATGACCTCGTTCTCTAGACCTCCTCCTACACAGCTTGCAAGATGAAGGTGTACAAGAATCTGAAGGCTTACAGCTGTTTCGTTAGATAGCTAGTTAGCTGCCGGGATAGCTAGCTACGACTGCAAAACATCACACAAACGCCACAGGGTGATATTATCACAGATGTGTCTGGCTATGTTTGTGTTTTTTGTTGGTGTTTTTCTCAATATCTTTATGCGGGAGAAAGCTAGTTTGCTTATCTACTGGGAGATTTGTTTTTAGCGATGCGAGCTACCCGGGCAAAAATAAGATGGCAGTCGTTCAATGGTACTTTGGTTTCATTTGGTGTACCACGATGGTCTTTTTTTTTTTTTTTTTTTTTTTTTTTTTTTTTTTTTTTTTTTTTTTTTGGTCAGTTTTAGCTAGCTATGTAGTTAGGAAAATTACTCTCACTTCTGTGTCACAACTATTTTCGTGACTCGAAAGTAGCCCTTGTTTTTCCCCGATTTGATCGGTTGGAACAGCCGTAAACGGCGTAAACCATGGGCGTTATTGCTGCAGTATTGAACCTGCCTCCAGTTGCCTGCCCTCCATCTGGAAAGCCCGCCAATGTGTGATGTCTTCTGCAAAGAACCTATAGTTAAATTCGATGAATAGTTTGAGTATAATGGTGGGAAAGGTAATAAATCCTTTGCTTAAAGCTGTGTTTTGAGCTGAAACGTTCTAAATGCCCTTGAAACTTCAAAATATATATTGTTTTTATATCAATTGACTGTCTGATGAAGAATTTTTAAACTCCTAAACTTATAGGGATGTAGAGTTTAAGTGAATGTACAAATGATGCACGGGGCTCTTGATGTGATAAGCAGAAACGAACCAGGGGAAATTTGCATTATTTTTTTACCGGCTGTTTCCGTCATAAACCTTTTTTTAAAATGTCAAAGTCACCTTGAGACAGTGACCGAGCCCATGGTTCGGCGTGTAGGGGGCTGGCAGCCAGGGAAGCCGAGCCTGTCTGCAGATCAGGGCCCTCAGATGTGAGAGTTCTAAGAAGCTTGATGTGGGCTTGTTCTGTAATCCCCTCCACCTCTCTCAGGATCATTTGCATCCATTTTTCATCAATCTTTGTGTGAATTCTTAAGATATGAAAAATAGGCCCAGGGCCAGGCTTTTGAAAACTCTTTAACTCTTCTGCGTGTTCTCATGCTGAGACCGACCCTGTGTTTGAGGACTGAGGAGCAATAATTCTCCCTTTGACAAGATTATTCTATGCGTGTCTCTTTTTTATTGCGTTCAAATAATTGTTAATGATGTGTGCATGGGGCAATATAAATAGTGAATATTTCTGTGCCTGTGTGCCGCTGATGATCCTAAATGAATGAGGACCAAAAATAGCTTATAGATATTCACTAAATGAGATTAGCACTGCTTAGATTGTAAGTATATTCTACAGCGTGAGACCTCAAATAAGGCAGTGTCACATAATATAGGTTCTATGATGTATAATGTAATGCTTAATCCATTGATCCATTGAAGTATGCTTTTTTTCAATCCATGTACAATGACTCCCATTTAAAAACCTGCCATATAGGTTTCATTACTACAAACTACTGTCATGTATAGTAGTTTAGTCTTTGTTTTACAGTACACTTAAACATACCTTTAAAAAAAAAACAAAAAAAAAAACATCAGTTTTCCTAGGCATGGTGTTTGACAGAGTGAGATCTGTCTTTATCAGCTGTTGAGCCTACAGTATGCCGGCTGTATTTTTGAAATCCTGAAATTCTAAAATAACAGTATTGTACACAAGGGGAGACATGTAGGGAAGCAACGAATCATCCTGCTGATAAATGACAGGCTTTTATTTTAAAGAAACGGAGCAGAAACCATCACAAAGGAAACGAAACAAAAAAACGACCTCCCTTTTAGAGCATCTACGTTTTTATATACTTGGGCCAACTTTGCACTATACTTCGGGCCTGGCAACTGCCTGATCAATCAATAAACTCAAACTTGAAATGTCAACTCAAGTATTGAGTCAAGTATTTAAGACCCATGAGTTATTTCCCCTGCCCCATCAAGTCACACAGCAAGGGGAAAAGCTGTTTTTCCCCTCTGGTGAGCTCCAGCTAATGAGCTCAGCTTAGCTGTAGGCGTGCATGGTGGCTGGTTGGGGCTGCCTGTAGTGCTTCCAGTAGGTGTTGGATGGAGCCAGTGGGTAGGAACTTAGCAGCTCTGCACCGTCGAACCCCTCAGCCCCTTAAAACTATCTGACAAATTGCAGAAAAGTACCATGGAGCTAATATGTGCAAAGAACTCTCTGAAACACAAAAATGAACAGTCAAATGGAATAAATAATCTACGTCTTAAACACACATTTTATAGAGTGTAGACTGCAGAGAAAATGCATATTTTGGCTGTCGACATCTTGGTTGTTTTTTTTTAATGTCGCTATGTTTTTTTTTTTTTTTTGTTTTTTTTTGCAACCAGAAGAGACAAGAGAGGTTAAAGCTAAGTATGCCTTCAACCGAACGCTGAATAAGACATTTTTAGGCAACGAAAACGGTAACATTACGTTTCATGAACTGGAAACACACTGCAAAAGGGATAAAGTTGTTCGATGAATATACGGACAACACCCACACTGCACAACGCTGTGACAGTGTAACCTGCTTTATTGTCTACTTGACTCTAAATGGGACCACCATTTCCAAAAGAACATCATGTTGTATTAAAGAAACTAGTTATTGGAACCATAAACTCAATGTTTACTGAGGTAGTAGATCAAGTGAGAAGTAGTGTCATTGTCTCATAGAATTCAATGCAACCGGAGGTGTCGCCCCCCCTGCTGGCTGTTAGAAAAAAAAAATGCAAGTTTAAGGTATTTTCGCATCGGCCTCATTTTCAGAATCGGATGTTGCTGCCTGGGTTCATCAAACAAGGTGCATTGCTCACCTAGGGGCCGTTGTCGTGCTCTGTGTGGACATGGTGCCTGCTGTGGCTCGTCCCCCCTCCTCTACTTTAACAACCCCAGGGACTGTTATTCCCCTCAGCTAAGCCTGTAAGGCTGCACTTTCCCTCAAGACTCACTGCCAGGTTCTGGCCCACCTCTTTTTTTTTTTTTTTTTTTTTTTTTTTTTTTTTTGTGTAATTAACCAATGCCAAGTGTGCCACGACTAAAACATGGTCCACTGGAGAAAACTCCAATGGGGCAGAGTTTGTCTGCCACACAAGTACAAGGTGATACTAATTATAGGGTGCTAAACCTACAAACAGTCTCACAGGCAGCAGAGTATCTCTCCCAGTATGCCAAGCGAAAGCAGCTAGCTGCCAGGCAACCTAAGGAATGCCAGACAAACAGCAGATATCTGACACAAAGCACAGCAATACAGGGACAATCTGTCAGGCAGCTAGATGAGAGTTTAGCCAGCGAGGCAGCCAGCATCACCAGACTGCCTGCAGGGCTGCTCAACAATGCGGTGCGAAATATCAACACGTATTTCTTACACATGTCCAGCAAAAGGCGCACATTTGCATTTTAAGACCAACACATAGCTGATCGGCTGATTGAACCATGTTTTACTGGACAGTGGCTTATTTGATGAAACGTGATTAAAATGTCTACCTTTTAGTCACAAATGTAATAAAAAAAATACATTATACAACATCAACAAGTTATATGCGTGAAGACTTTTTAGTGCATATGTGTATTTAATGTACCCACAAGCTGGATGAATAATTCCATGATTGAATAAATAAATAAATCAAGCCTCAACCTAGAAATGTGAATTTATTGCAGGTGTCTCTCCTGTCAATGTCTCTGTCCCGGACGCATTAATGGCTTCGGGGATTGGAGAAAAGTTTGAAATGCGTTAAATGAGACACCTTATTTGTCCTTTTTGGTCCAACAAATGCACACCATCAATCAGGCTGTCGAGCATTGTTGTTTGAGCATCACACTTCGTGTGGAATGACCTGTCAGCTCCCTAAATTTATTTGGTCTTATCTGCGGCTTACCTGTGACGTTGTGAAAACGGGGACTTAAATCTTTCTCTCTCTCTCCCATCACGACGCGTTGCCTTGACCCCTTATGCAAAGTTGACTTCTAGAGGCACGGCATGATTCCGTATCTGCTCTGCTGCCAACGGAACCCAAATACCATAGTATGGGTCAGAGTCATGTTCAGCTTGAGGAGGAAATGAGCTCTGATAAGGAGCAACTATGATGTAGAAAGAAAAAAAAAAAGTATATTATTTGAATTGACTTTGTAGCAGTGTGTTCGTGCAGGTAAAACAACAGTACGTATGATAGATGACCTTATCGTACTCTACAAGCAGCAATATCAAAGCTTTACTCTGTTAGTGCTCCCTAACCAGGTTTCGCTATCATTGCTGAGCTTTAGCATGAGGACGGTGTAATATGCAATTTGCTTTTGTATTAACACCACAGGCCGAGTGATAACTTCATTGAACTGCATAGATAAGCGGTGTGTTGCATCGGGTATAGAGATCTAACTTTCCCACTGTAATTGGACTTGATGATGAATGGCATTGTGGGTCCTAATGTGGCAGTATGGTTTCATCTTGGGGCCTCTGGCTCTCACTGGCTATTATCTCCCTCCCGTGAGGGTACATTGTGTCTGAGCCTTTGTTGGCTCTGCGCAGTGGAGTGGAGGACCTAATCTATTTATCACAGGGTCTGCGTGACCACCCAGCCAGGCTGCTATATCGGATCATACCAGGCTCCCTTGTGCTCTTCCTCAAGGGAAGGAAGAAGCGCCGATGTAACATGCAGCTTCACACCTGTCAAACAATGCTGAGGTTGATCATCCCTGAGGAATGGAGCACAGAAGGCAATGCATTTAAATGTATCTTTGAGTCATGGCCTACCTGGACAAAAATATCTGGGATTTTGTCTTTCACCAAAGAGGATGTAATCCTCAGCATTTTATTGTTTGAAGATTCAGGGGATGAAACGGATATACGACTTTAAGCAGAGGTATTGTTGAGAACAATGAATGTCTGGTGTTTGGATGGACTTTTGTTGAGATATTATCGAAGGGTCATTGAAGCATGAATCTGGGACTCCTCACTGCTTCAACTGTTTTGTGACATGAGGAAATTGCATCATTGAAGCAAGAAATGTTGAACTGCCCCTCAGTGTGTGTGTGTGAAGTCCCAACTAACAAAAAAACCCCAAATGAAATTCAATGCCTAACTTTTTTTAATTCAGGGACTGAATGAGGTTTGTAAACTGCTACTGTAAATATAGAGAGATATTACATTCCAGAAGTAAGAGAACCTCACTCAATATCATATTTACATTTTTAATTATGGAATTTACTAAAACTTCAGCTTTACGATTACCTTTGTTGAACAGGATGTTTTGCGGTCCACTCCATTTGAGATGGTAAATCTTCTAAATGTTTCTGTTGTTGGTGTATTTAACGAACACAAATCCAACAAGTCCAAGACCATTGCAAGTAAGACTTCACCACCTCGACATGTCATGTTGTATTGTTTTGAATGCTATTGTTTTATTAAATCCTTACGAATAAATTGTTGACAAATGATTTAACTTTGTCGTAATCATGAAGGATCCAGTTTATAAGAGCAAGTGCTGTAGTACAGGAGTTCTCAATCACGGGACCTTCAGGGAATTCCAGTGGATCCACTCTAGAGGTGAGACCGATGCCAGTAAGAGTGACTATTCTGATCACTGGTTACACTTCCTCCTCAAACTGTATGTTAGTTGACAACTATAGAATTCTGGTCTTAATCATATCTAACAACCAAAATATTTTCAGATGGATGTCCCTGAAATCTTATCAAGTGGGGGTCCTAGTAGATAGACACAGGACATTGACTCTTTAGGGTATGGCTGGGAGGGGGCAGGACAATGTCCACATAGACGTTCTAAACTATAGATACCAGCTTCTTGCAAAAATAGAAAATATATCGTGTTTCTAGGTATAGTGTATATCTACATTCAGGTACACTATGCACATATCAATACAGTCATTGTTGGAGCTGAGTGTACAGAGAGCATCTGAGTTGATGATGTCAGCCAAAGCAGAGACGGCAGTTCACATTTAATCAGCTGCTTTGGAGCATGGCATCGGTGGGTACAGTGTTTCATGCCTTGCTCATTACGCACACCGCATAGAGAGAACTAAATCCTGAGTTTTAACGCTTCCATGGCAACACGCCACTGAGCGGGAAAGAGGTGAGGTGCGTAGTGTACTTTGCCTTAAGTGGCTGCTCAGATCCAGATGACTCTCCCATCGCTCAGTCGGGAGCGGGAGCTATAGGGCCATTTATGGAATCCACCTTCTCCAGCCTCCGTCAACACAGTCCAGCCAACAGGCACGGAGGACATTTTCATGTTTGTAGAACACTGGGCAACAAAACCATCAAAACCCTGCCACAAGTTCTGCTTTTCATATTCAGATATTTTGTTGGTTTTGCTTATTTCTTGAGTATTTTCTCTCTCGCATGTAGGACAGAGGAGCTCGTCACACGTTGAATAGGGAAGCCAAAGCAAGTAGAAGCGTATGGTTCATTTCAATTCCCCTGCATGGTGTTTGTTTACCCAAGTGTAGCATGAAATCCTATCGGTTCAAATACCGGGGGATGGGCCTGGCTATGCTAAACGCTTGCTCAGTGGTCGCGCAAGTGGTCCGATGGAAATCGGAAAACTTTGATGCGAGCTGAAAGCCACTGATTTCTCATCCTGACACCCGGTTACGTGAAAGGCAGCGTCTCCTCTACAGTGTAGTTAATGAAAACACCATCTCCTGTCACTGACACTCCATCTCCAACATAATGGAGCTTTGGGTATCAATATGTGAATGTCCTGTAGCGGTGAAAATTAATCTCTGGTGCCTAAAGTGTATGATGAGATGTGTGAATAATTCACAGCTTCTTGTTTATCTGACCTTGTGTGTGTGTGTGTGTGTGTGTGTGTGTGTGTGTGTGTGTGTGTGTGTGTGTGTGTGTGTGTGTGTGTGTGTGCCCCCCCGTTTGTGTGTTTTGCTAGCTGGGAGGTGCTGCGGTTCCTACTGTCAAACCTGCGCTGGTGGATGGAGGAGTACTGCTTTGATGGCTTCAGATTTGATGGCATTACCTCCATGCTATACCATCACCATGGCATCGGTAAGGCTGGTTTGTGTGCATCTCATATTTCTGTGTGTGTGTGTGTGTGTGTGTGTGTGTGTGTGTGTGTGTGTGTGT